TTCATTCTATACTGCTTTACCATAAATCAAAAGTAAAGCATGCTCTGATATACAGAATGTGGGATTTCAAAATCTTAAATGTGCAGCAGCAAATAGCTTGTAAAGTCATTGCAGAGTCCCTCGCTAGCTCATGTTGGTCAGTTCACATCAAGAGTCTTACTAAAGATGCTGACCTGAATTTTCTTATCCCCTGTCAGATCTTCTGTTTCGTTCCTGTTTTTCTCCGACGTGAAGGTGGAGCTGTAATCGCCACAGTTGTTCTCCACCACTGACAATAGGCAAGCACAGACAAAGACAACACACAGTCATCACCTTCTCCTCCTCCTCATCATGAGATCTCTGCTCTGCGGTCAGAGATCTGAAAAGGAGTTAAACCACTGAACTACAGCTATGCTCCTGCAGTTATAGGGTTTGCACGGTCGGACGTAGTCATTCAGATCGTTCGGGCTTCAGATTCAAAGAGTTGTTAAGATGTGCCAAAATGTGCAGCAGATTTTATATTACCATTATTTTATTAAGTAGTTTTTAACACATCTTCTTCTCCACCTCCTCCTGATCACTTTTAGTACTAATAACTTGAAGTAATTGATTTCTAGAGGACTTTATCACTCACATCTTTTGTAAAGAAAATGAGTCTACCATGCCCGCACATCTCACTTAAGGTCGAGCTGTCAAACAAGTGGCCTTAAATGTGACTCGAGAATATTTTGGTGTAAGATATGCCTGCCTGTCTGATGGCTTCCAAATTATTGCACTTTCCCCACCTTCTTTAATAGTATAATGTGTTAATACCGACACTGGCCTCCTCCTTCCAAAAGACATAGTTTAGGAAGTCTTTCAGTTTATTCAGGTGCAACTTTGCAAACATCTTCCTGACAACATGTCCAAACAAATCCAACTTCCTCTTTGTTTTATTAACTGTATTAACATTTTTTTAAAAAAAAGTCTCTTCTTCTTGTTCTTCTTCTTTGTGACATTGTGCTAACAAGCACCTTCAGGCTCCAGATCAGCCAGTTACCAGAATCACTTTTTTTGTAGAGGAAGTCTCACACTTGGAAGTAATGAACTGATCGAGGGTGATAAATGTCAAGGAAACAGCAAGGGTCAGCTTACTTTTCCAAGTAAAGCTTCTCAATTTTAGTTTTTAGTTTCGTTTTAGCAACATTTTATTTGACAGGGTGTGAATAAGACTGTCATAAACATGAAATAACAGCTGTCGTGAACATGAATATTTATGACTGTTGTCATAAAGTGTCATTCAGTAAATTCTGACATTTCAGTACAAAATTTACATTATTCAAAATGTCTTTGTCATGACACATTGTCATTAACCAAGAAATCATGATCTGTCATAAATTTGTTGTAAAAGTATTCCTGATTAAGCTTTAAAAATTATGTAGGCAAGAGATAATATTAATGACTCTGTGATGACAACATCATAACTGTTGCTATTTGTTTCACTTGACTTGAGGCAAGAGTTAATATTAATGACTCTGTTAGCATAACATTTGACTCTGTAATAATACTTAATGACATCGTCATAACTGGTGCCACTTGTTCCACTTGATGTAAGAGGAATTTTTAATGGCTGTTTTTAAAGTTTAATGAAACCTTTATTGATGGTCCTACTTGTTCCGCTTTCTTTCAGGTAGGGAGAAATAATTACTGTTTGTTTTGTTAACATTTCTGACAGTGTACTAACACTCAATGACATTATTATGGCTACTATTATGACATATGATGATTATTGGTCAATCTCAAATTGTCATAACAGAGAGATTTCGAATAATGTCAACTTTGTATTAAAAGCGTCATGATTTACCGAATGACACTTTGACAACAGTCATAAGTATTCATGAAGACTTACTCATGTTTATGACCGCTGTTTTGTCGTGTTTATGACGGTGTCGTGACAGTCTTATTCATCCCCCTTCATATGAAGTGTTACCTTTGTTTTCGCTTTGTAAACAACAACAAAAGAGAACATTTAATGAGATCAACTTCATTATGAGTTGACAGATAAAACACTGCAGCTGAAAGAAGGTGTGCTACATAGTGCTCTTGTTATGTGTCCATAAAGCTGTAACAACACAGATCCTTTAAATCTGGAGAGCCTGCAGCGTTGAACTCGGTCACAAAATGTAAGGGAACGTCAAAACGATTGTAGGAAAAAGAAAAGGCCTGTTTTTTTTTTCCAGACAGAAGAACTGAATTTGGAGGAGCATTAATGGGCAGATGAGGAAGAGGAGGAGAAGAAGATGATAATAAACAAGTCCAGGGAAAGAAAACAGAACACGGACAGAAAAAGGAGGACTGCAGTATTTGTGGTCGTCTCGGCATTGTGTACGCTTTGAATGCCTGGGTGGAACCGCCGGTGTTTGGTACAATTATTTAACACGGCGCTGACCCGCGGCAGGAAATCTGTGCCGTTCGGTGGACCCTCTGATTCTAACAAGTAGCGCAAGCGCACTCGTTTTCGTTTCAGCGGGCCCCCGTATGGAATGACCTTCTCCATTCACTGTACTGCTGTGTGTGTTTTGGCTGACATTATGTTTTTTTAATAAAAGAGATTAAAATGCTTCGCCACGGAAAAGTATGCTGACATTTAGTCGCCCTGCATACCTTTACTCATTAACTCCTTTCAGAGAATAACTGAGGCTGAAATCTCAGGGGATATTTTGACATCATTTATTAAGACATTCTTCCTCCATGTTTGCTCATGACTATAGAGCTACTCTGCTGTTGTGAGATTTTCTTATGTAAAGAAAAAGAAAGCAAAAAATCTACTGGTCATGAGGTGGTGACAAAGACCCTTCCAAGCCAGCAGATCCTTCTTCTGCACTAAATTTACAAGAAGTGGAAATTGTAGCGTCCATTAGATGCTGAAAAGCATTGCTTCTCAGTTCTGTGTAAGAATGTGTTGTTTTAGCGGAGACACTTGCTTATTTGTGTCTTTCGGTGTGGCAAAGCCGCTCTGCTACAGTTGTATTCAGTACGGTGCCTTGCGAGTGTGTTCATACCCCGCTGGACCTTTTTCACCGTTGCAATCGCAAACGGGTTTTTATGTGACAGGAAAACACAAAGTAGTGCACGGCTGCGAGGTGGAGAGCAAAGAATGAACAGCTTTCAAAGTTATTGCCAAGAAAAATCTGAAAATGATGTCATGCGTTGTGTTCAGTCACTTTTGAGTGAATACTTTCAGAACCATCATGGCTTTCCTCAAGTAAAAAAAAAAAAAAAGATCAAATGCAACATCATACCACAATGCCTCCATCACCATGTTTCAAGGTGATAATGGTGTGTTCAAAGTGATTCACTGTGTTATTTCTTTGCCACAAGTGACATTGAAATTACACACTTTGGTCTCAGTCACCTAACGCACGTGTTTTCTCTTACCAGGGTTCTGTGTATCTGCAAACAGGACTTCTTATAACTTTCCATCAAAATGACTTTTTTCTTGCTGCTATTTTTGAGATTTAAGCTAAACTGCATTAGGGTTTGTTAACAGTCCAACTTTTATTCACTTTCTCTTGTAATGCATCCAGAATGTAGCCCTTTTTTATGTTTTAATCATGTCACACTTTGAATTACCTTGTTGCTGAAATGTGCCTCTCAAATAAATATGTTACTCTTAAGACACATAGTTGCACTTGATTTGATAATGGAGTAAAAGTGCAAAGACTGCCAAATTCAAATGTGTGGCAACCTTTTCATGTTCTTATTTTTGGACTACACACTGCTTTGTGTTAGTTCATCACACTATTTTACTGAAATGTACATTGCCGTTTGTGGTTATAATGTAGCTAAATGTTTTATTCCTTCATAAAAATTCAAAAAGCGCGGGATTAACTTATATTAAGCCCCCGCCTCGGATCAATGTATGGTAGAAACTCTTTCAATTTCCCCGATCCTGCTCAGAAATGTAGACATCCCCCACAGCACGATGCTGCCACCACCATGTTTCACGGTGAGCGCTTCGAGTAGGAATGGGAGCATTTTGTTATTATGTGATAAAATGCATGTGAGTAGAGACGGAAGTTCACTACAAATAATCAAATTTTCATGAACTAAAGTGTGCGTTTCACCCAATATGCTGCAGCGGTGAATTTGTGGTAAACGGATGAGTTCGAGGCAGCAGGAACAGAAAAGATGAAAACACGAATGCAGCAGGAAGGATTGATGGGAAAACTGCGAAAGCTTTCACTCACAGGCTCTGGCATGACGTAGTGCCTCTCGAATTCCTGAGTTATTACTTAAAGATGTCTGCTTGTCGTTTCCTCTCTTGCTATCCAGCGCTCGGCGCCTATCACGCTGCCTAACCCCGATGCAGCAGCAAATAGAGACAAATGCTCGTTAGTTCATTGGAGCAGTGGTAGTGTGTGAAGAAATTACAATTGGAGAAGGCCCATTTCACTGCAAATGATGTTTTATTTCATCATGGCGACGGTGAATGAGACAAACGCGATTGTGATTCGGGCCTGGATTTAAGATGTGGAAGCGGCCAAATATGAGAAACAAATCGGATTATTGAACGCCGCCGCCAAACATTTTCTCCTTAGATGTCCGATGATTGAGGGTGATGGAATCCAGTCAGGCTGAGTCCTGAGACTTGGTTCCAAGACTTGGTCAGAACAGACTTTCAGTCTGAGCGAACACAAAGCACACACACACACTCACTGACTCTAAACATACACAACCAGCACGCACACACACACTGTTCCCACTTTCAGGGAAGCTTCTGAGTAAGGAGGAAAGTCAACGGAGAAATTTACAGAGGAAGTGAAGCGTAATCTATGAATTATATATACTCACTGAGACTATGATTTCATTCAGGGGAAAGCCCATTCTCTCACCCCCACCTTTCTCCCACTTCTGTTAGGCATTAGTCCACGGCCCTTTTCCCTCACTAGTAAAAGTTACCCGTGACAACTTTCTGAAGTCGTTTTAATGTTTTTTCCCCTTGTGTGTGTGTGCGTGTGTGTGTGTGTGTGTTGCCACAGGTGGAGGTGGAAAACGGAAAGGCAGGAGTAAAAAATGGAAGGAGATCCTTCGCTTTCCTCACATAAGCCAGTGTGCTGAACTGGGAAAAATCATTGGTAGGTTCTGGTGCTCTCTCCTGCTGTGAAGTGGGTGTGTTTGGCTGATGGAGTTTCCGAATGCTCCGTGTCAAAGTTGTTTTCTTTTATTTTTAAAATTTATTATTATTTTATACTTTTGCAGAGAGGGATTATGCCAGCATCTGCGTCAAGCAGCCTATTGGAAGGCTTCTCTTTCGTCTTTACTGTGAGACCAAACCCAACTTGCAACGATGCATTCAGCTGCTGGACGCAACGGTACGCATGAACACACATTTAATGGGTTTTTTTTTCCCACTCCAGGTTTTCCTTCATTAATTGATTTATGTGGAAAGAAAAAATTGGACAGTACAAATGTAAGCACATAGAGGGTTTCAACCCTTCAACATTGCCTAAAGTTTTACTATTAATCCTTTCATGTATTTCTTATTTTTAGTGTGGTTTTCTTTACTTTTGTTACCTTAGAATTACTTTTGTGTACAGATGGAGCTACATACATAAACGTGCCTTCTGCCGCCTCAGTTGAAGGCTGGGTGTAGAAAATGCTTTCAGTCTCCAACTTTGCAGTAAGAAAATGTCTGTTTATGTAGAATAATCCAGTCCAGGCATTTGAGATGAGCAAACATAGTGGTGGTTCTCATTGAAAAAACGTATGGAAGCAACAATTTAGTTGAGGAATGGAGGCTTTACAAAGTGATTCAAAGAATTTTTCAGTGTGGAAGTATTAGGGTGATATTTGATTATGCTAAATATTTAAGATAAAGAGTTAGAGTTGCACAACAGTGGCCCAAATTCCTTAAAAAGTAAAAAAAAAAAAAGTCTTTCACTTCTTAGAGTCAATAGAAAGAGTTGAAGCAAATACTAACTTCAGTTTTGTTAGCAACTAATTGTTAGCCAGTGGCTTTAGGATTCGTTTCCGTAATTCACCCTTTCTTATCAAATCTTAGGAGCATTCACTCCACTTCACTCATGTCACTCTGTCATCATCTGAGTTAACTGTTAACTTTTTGTTTCCCATTAAGCCTTTTATTTCCTTCCTGTATGAGTTATTATCACTTCAAGTGCCAAGGCCAAATGGACATTCTCAATAAATATACGAGGATATGATTAAAAAGCGCATGAATAAAATTGTCTTTAGGTTTTCCAGTGACTCCAGGCTTTGGCCTCCAATCCCAGTTTTCTGTCAATAGCTTTTCTGCTATTGAGTTGTTCATTGAGTTGTCATTGAAATGATTAACTTATTGTAACAGTGGCGGGTCAATAGTTCTTTAAATCTGAGCTGTGACAGATTTCACGACGGAAGGTCCTCCCCAGTGACCTAGTGAAGGTCGAGGAAGGTGTCATCGCCTTCTAGAGTCAAGTCTGGACTGATCGGCGCTCACATCCTGTTTGACAACGCCAGGCTGCTGGGAAAGACTGGAATTGTGGGACAAACTTAATTTTGCGAGCCCAGTGTAGACAAGCCAGTCAAGAGTTTTCTAAAAGAAGGCACAATTAGAATAAAACAGTTATATCAAATGAATGAAAAAACAAAAACTAAAAAGACAAAAAACAACTCAAGAATTACTTCCTTTCTTTTTACAAAATAAGATCCACAAAGACACAGGGGGTGAAGCTCAAAGCATTTGTCCTTATATCTGGGAATTATAATAATATCTTAGGCTAAAACAGCGGCTGAGTAGTGCTCTGCAAGACAGACTTTTCTGGTTACACCCCCAACGATTAATGATTACAGAGGGATATAATGTCAGGCTGTTGTTGCAGGAAGGAGGGCTCTGTTTTATATGTCCGAACAGTAAAAGAGCAGAAGAAAGCTCCCGTGGAGCTGTGATGTGTCTGAAGTCTGCCATGCAGTCTGAAACCTGATGGAGTCTGAAATATTTTCCTGCAGACACGTCTCGGTGGAGCACAACGCTGCATTTCTGCACATGCAGACACAGATTGATATGTGCCACTTAATGCCATTATGTGCTACCAGGGATCTCATATTTCACATAGCGATGACTTAAAGAAATTATTTAATCTTCCTCCACCACGCTCCCGCTTCTGCAGCTTCGTTGCCACCACGTTGTTTCCTCCTCAAGCCTTTAGGGGATCTGGCAGTCCTATTTTGAACGTTTGTTGAACTTTGGAAAGTTCAGTCAGCTGCTTCTGCTTGTAAACAACTTTCCCGTTGGCATGGTTATTCGTCATATCAGCTTCGCCAGACATAAAAGCCCACTGGATGTAGCTCAGGCGAGCACAGAATCCATGTAATGAAAAAGAAATCCTTCAGTGGAGAGCTAAATCAAGTAGCAGCGCAAAGATAAACAGAACATTACAAGAATTAATGCAGTAGATACCAGTATGGAGCCACACTAGGAATTTTCTCTCGGATGCTAATGGCGGAGAGAGTCTTTACAAGAGTGGGTGAAATGTGTTGTAAGTCTGGAGTGAAATATTGGTGCTAAAATTGCTATATGTAACAGTATTATATTAGAACAAGACAAAATTAGAGTTGCTTAGGTAGGAATCTGAAAATGAATTGGACTGATATTAATCAGACCTGAATTGGACCTATTTGTCTTCGAGAAGGAGTTAGTTTTGAATATTTGACCCTCACAACTAATTCCCAGAAAGAGACGGATCTTCTTAAAGAGACAGAGGCCCAGTGACCTCAAATTTCTTTTTAGTCACATTTGACATATACAGCAACCGAAAGCAACGTAGACAGTTGATTTTACTATGACTATGTGTGTGGAACGTACATAACGCTTCCCCTTTAACCTGCTATCGACCGTCTCTGTAAAGGACAGCAAAAGACAAATGCTATCTGAGTGGAAGAAAAGCAAAACAATAACAGAGTCTACATATCAGACGAACTCTGACTCTGCGCTATTTCACTGGACTATTCTGTTTGCATTGCAGTTCAATAGAGATTTGACTACTCAAACAGGCAGATGTCCTGGTTGTTTCCCTCCCCTCCCAGCCCCACACTCCCATTTCTCACTCCTTGTCTAGACTAAATACCTCCCACATGACACATTTAAGTCTTTATCTATCAACACCCAGAATATCTATGTGGGACATGTGACAGGACAGAAAGGACAGCATTGTTTCCCGATCCCAGAACACCCCTTGTCTCTTCCCCTGCTCTGCCTTCTTCTAACCACCTTCTCCACAAAGCGACCACCTCCGCGAAAGAGAAACCACTCACACGCACTCATCCCAAACACATTCTGAGGCTAATTCTGCACTCAGTCCATGTGACGAACTCTGACTCTGCGCTCATCTTTGGGCATTATTTGTGGCACTCAATAAGCCGGGTCTGAGTGCGGGTACAGCCGAGCGGATCCTTGTGATTAAATAACACAGCTGCGCGCTCTGAGCAGTTGTGAGGTTCACTCAGCGTGTTACGCAATCTCGTCGACGTGCTATTCATAAAATTTTATAAACAAGTGGGCAATTAGTGGAAAAGGAAAATGAGGAGGAGAAAGCCTGAATGCATTTTTTTAGTGCTTGGGGAATGTACTCTGGGGGCTTCCAGAGAACCATTCTCCCATCTAAAGAGGGTGTGTGTGTGTGTGTGTGTGTGTGTGTGTGTGTGTGTGTGTGTGTGTGTGTGTGTGTGTGTGTGTGTGTGTGTGTGTGTGTGTGTGTGTGTGTGCGTGTGTTGGAACCCCACTGGTTCCAAAAAGCCAAAGGGGCATCTCCTTTCCCCTTTGGCTGACCCCCTATCAGCAAAGGCTGGAAGTCAGAGAGCGATTTCACTCTTGATTCAAGTGCCTGTTTGTGTGTTTGTCAGATTAATGTGTGTGTAATATTAGTGAAATTTCTGTTAACAATCTCTAATCTTTGCCTCTGTTTCTTTGTGTACAACACATAGTTGTTTCAGGTTTTTCTTCTCGTCAGTTGCTTTGTGGTTTTTCAACTGAGCTCTTGGCTTCAGTGGAAATCTGGTGACGCTGGTGTGACACACTGTGACACTCCAGGACCTCAAGGAATCCCACCGTGTTTACTGCGGGATTGCCAGGCAACGCGGACCCATGCTGGAAAAAGCCCGGCGAGTAGAAAGACGAGGGCCCGCTTGCATCACGGACACCATGTTGCGTCCCCTGTCCCTCCGCAGAAGTTAAACTCGCTGGCTGGGAAACGCATCAGAGCGCTTTCATGTTGCTCCCTTCGCGAAAAGTCCAGGGCATCCAGCAGACAATTGCCTGTTTTTCTCAGTGAAAAGAGCAGAGGGGCAGCATGTGTTTATGTGAATGAGACTGTGGGGCATACTGATGCAGAGTCAGAGGTCTTTTTCACAGACAAACAGCATTTGCTTCATCCAGGATTCTGCTGTACTTTTGATGGACAAACTTCACACTTTTCCACACTGAAATTTCCACGCTTGTCAGACATTTAGTGCGACTTTAAAATATCAAATACAAATGTTCCCACTGAATTCTGACAGATTTTTCTACAATTGACAGGCTTTATATATGGCTTAGGAGATGAACCTAATGTCTTGTGTATTTTTTCCTGTACTTATGGATACTTGGAAAAGAAAATTTCAGACTTTTTCGAACTGTGCAGGAACCTTAGATCCACTAAAGTACTTTCTAAAAATCTAATTCATGAAAGTGAAAAGTTAATTAGCTCAGTATTCTCACCTGTGCTGCTACCTATATAAACTCCAGCTCTGCATTCAGTCATTGCAACATTGTCTGTCATCAACCCCCTGACTCAGGCTGTGAGGGGTCGTGGCTGATATCCTGATCTGGCCTGTTTCTTCTCTTCTGTCTGTCACCTTTTCCTGCTTTCCGACTGCACTGAGTGTTTTCCTGCTTCATGCAGCCAGGTGTCCATCACAGCCTCACAGATTTTGGATTTGCCCTAACTCTACGCGCCTTTCTGTTTGCCAACCTGGACGATTTACTCAAACAAATTAAAGGTGACAGTGATTATTCACTTTCCCGTGGGGAAAGCTGGACTTTGTGTTCTCCACGCCTTCATCCCTTTTTGATTTTCAGTGCATAAATGTCTCGGCTCTGTCCTGCGGGTGGAACAGTCCCGATAAACTGATCTTTTCCTGTCTGACACCGTCGAAGCTTGAGGTAGTCCAGAAAATCAAGGTCCGATTCTCTGAAGAACGCCTGGGAAACCACTTTCTGCCAGATAAACAACTACTTCCTGTTTGAACATCCTTGCTGAATGCCAGTCACTCACCATCCAGTCTCTATCGCAGAGTCTGACCTGAAAGTTGAACCCAAGAAACAACCTCTTTCCTGCTTTCTTATTCATACAATTACTGTCAATAAGACTGTTTGAATGCTATGGGGATTTGATACCGCGCATTTTCATATTATACATTCCAATTTTCTAGTTGGAAGCGATGTGTGGCATAGTGCTCGTTTAGCATGTGATAACCTGAGACACACACCTTCCAAACAGCCACATTATTAATTTATAATCATGAGATCTAATGTAGCATAAGGGATTTTAATTATCCATTTGACCTGATGGTTTTTAAAGAGTATTTGATTCATATGAGAAACAAATTGAATAATTTTTAAAATAAAGAATTGAATGCGCATTTGAAATCGTGGAGGATTTTCTTTCTTGTTCGCATAAAAATGACACTTGTAGGCCCAGATATTCACAAATTGCATCACATGCTTTTTGCAGTCATTTATGACTAGAAGGTTTAGAGTTCATTCAAACTGGTTTGTCTGATAGGGACTACCAGCCCCGTAATCAAAATACATACACTGAAGCCTGACTGAAATTTGCAGATGTCCACATCAGTCAGTTTTAATACCAATCGATAGAGTTTCATAGTCAGACATGTTGAAGAGTTGTTAAATATCAGAAGAAAACTTTGCCAGGACCTTGTTTCTTCAGGATGTTTATACAAAATGTTAGTTGGGAATATACGTCTAATTTTGAGTATGAGAATTAGGAAAGATGAACAATAAAATTAAAATTACTTTTCTTTTTGTTTTTAATGCTTTGAAATAATATAATGCATGATCACTTTAACCTTAAAAACAGATCTGTGCAGGTGAGTTATTAAAAGAAAAAAATGAACATGCTAACGATCGTGTCTGCAATGCTTTTAGGCAAACTCTTGACACTAAGGTAGAACTACTTTGTGTTTTTTTTGATGTTTTTGTTTTTAATGTTTCCATGACACTGTGCAACAGGCCTCTTTCTATGAGAGTTCTTCAGAAACTCAACAGACGTGTTGTTTTTTATTTTCTGGTAAAAACGTTAGTCATTAGCAGGTCTGGTCATGATTCTACCTGCTATAGTCATGCTATGCAAAGTGTGGCCTCACGGAAAATGTCAGCACATGAATAATTTTGATAAGAAAGTGCAGTACAAGTCATGAACATGGCATTGCTAACGCTGCTGTTTTGCATATGTGTGTGTGTATATGTTTTAGGAAGACTATGAGGTTACACCTGATGAGAAAAGAAAAAGCAGGGGGGAGCAAATCATCAAGACCTTCCTTTCAAAACAAGTAAGTTTCCATACCGCGCATTTTCATACCTCTCAGCCCTTTGAGGTTGACACTATGCTGCAAAAGGGAAACATATTACCTTTGACATGGTTATTATGAGGGGCGAAAAAAAGAATCAGACACAGAAATAACGCAAAGTTTTAAAAATGAACGCACTTGTTAACTCTATCAAAAATCAAACCGAATGCACACGATTGCAGGTCATTCTGCGTTTCTCCTTACCCTGAAGTGTTGCATACATTAGGAGGTGATGGATTTGTGTGCATCTCTGCATACTTGTGACTGTGTGTGTTTACATGTGTTGATGCAGTCACCTCAGCGGGTAGACATAGCCGAGGTTTTTGCTGAGCAATGCAGAGAGAACTTCGAGCTCAGTCCTTGTAAGGAGATCTTCAGCGACTGCCGCAAGTGAGACGCCATTTACTCACTCTCACCTGTTTGTCACGTGACCAGATTTTTGACCGCGCTCTCTCTCTCACTCATTTTCCACGCTGAAATGTAGGCCATGTTGTGTGATCGGAGAGGTTTGACTGTGCTTTTCTTTTTGCGCCAGGGCGGTCCATGAGTACCTGAGTGGAGCTCCGTATTCAGACTATCAGAACAGCATGTACTTTGACCGCTTTCTTCAGTGGAAGATGCTGGAGAGGTTTGTTGAGTTTTGTTTCTACGCTTTGTGAAAAACAAACTAAACGGGTGGATAAAATGAAATAAAATCAACGGTCGTCTTAAAGGTCATGCAGCAAAGAAATGTTTTGCAGCAAAAGATTTATTAGCTAAATCAGTTTAGGTGAGGTAAATTGTTAATAACTGAGATTTTATTGTTGCATATGTTGATGCTTTAAGATAGAAAGTAGGCTGTATAGCTGTTGCGTTATTTACTTTAAGTGATATTTTATATATGCGTTGTAATTTTGCAAAACATTTGCTATCTTTAGGATAAGAAGTATGACATGAAATGCCAAAACTTATACTGTATAAATCAAGTTTGTTGAAACCAGCGGCGTAAAATGCCTTATAATAAATTAATCAAGCCTTAAACTCATTCTTTCATTTTTGCATCTTTAATTTAATCGGTGGGAGAAAAAGTATTGTAGTAAGTACCCGGAACATTTGTGATGCTCTGGGCTATTTTGTCCTTCAGTAACTTCGTTGATATTTTTAATAAAAGTCTGGTGACCTTAACCTGCTGGAAGTTATATAATGTATCACCATCAGAGGTATCAGTGCTTGTTGCGCATATGACTTTGTTAAAATCATATTTCCGAACTCTAATAATACTCTCTGGTATTTTGAAAGAGAAAAGAGCCCGCAGGATCACAAATCCTCCACCATGCTTGGTACTATTTTTCCTCTACTGCGTTAATATGCAGAAATTAAATGTTTAAGATTTGTAAATGTTTCAGTGCGAGATTATGCTAATGCAAGAAAAGATGGATGCCTTAAAAGCTTTCGTGGATCTGAGCAGCCAATAATTTGAAGGATGCTGTTTATCTGTAAAGGAATCGTTTCAATTATATCACAGAAGAAAAACTAAGTAGAAAGGGCTAGATGTGCATTAATACAGAGGGTAAGATGAAAATCTGTGGTTGATCCTTATCATTTCTGATTTTGTTAGTGAGGTTACTTAAGATAAACATAAAAAACAAAGTGAGTGTTTTCTTTCAAAGGTGTTTAATTAACATTGTATATGTATATCACGGATATACATTTCCAGTCAACGTTTCTGTCTCTGCCAAGACTTTATCTGGAAGATAAAAGTCTTGGCAATATGTAAATCTTTATACATATTCTCTAAATGGAACAGGCATCCCTAAATATGTCAAATAATAAATCGGTTTTGGTTACTATTTGCATTCATTTCGGGACAGGATCTACACTCCCGCTTTGAAAATATTCCATACAAAATGAGGTCATTTAAAGGAGGCAGCCGGCTTTCAGGGCAGCATTGATTGTATCTGTCTGGACAGTGAAATTCCCCCCAATGAGCCCCACCCTCTGTACAGGAAACAGAGTCAGGATGGCGTTGAGCTCCGCAGATAATATCTCTGACTTGATCGATACCACATAACCATCTATTAATGGATCTTGTTGTATCTGTGCTCTCTCAGGCAACCAATCACTAAAGACACATTCAGACAGTACCGGGTGCTGGGAAAGGGCGGATTTGGGGAGGTAAGAGAAGCGGCTGGGCGCTACATCTAAAAATTTGGGACTTTTCCTGTGACACACTGGATAATATTCTTGTCGTCCTCCGCAGGTGTGCGCGTGCCAGGTCAGAGCAACAGGGAAGATGTACGCCTGCAAGAAACTGGAGAAGAAGAGGATCAAGAAGAGGAAAGGAGAGTCCATGGCTCTGAACGAGAAGCAGATTTTGGAGAAAGTCAACAGTCGGTTTGTTGTGAGTAAAATTCATTTTCTTGAACATGCAGCTGTGGGATTTCATCCTCGTGTGTGTCAGAGCACAGTTTTCCCGCATCACGTTGCACGTCTCTGTCTTTCCTCAGGTCAGCCTGGCGTACGCGTACGAGACCAAAGACGCACTGTGTCTGGTGCTGACTATCATGAACGGCGGCGACCTGAAGTTTCACATCTATAACATGGGCACACCGGGCTTCGACAAAGACAGGGTCCAGTTTTATGCTGCTCAGATCTGCTGCGGACTCGAGCATTTGCACAGGGAATCTATTGTCTACAGGTAGCAATCTCAGACAAATATGTACATGAATCTGGCAACGCTGTTCTTTCACTCTGTATGTGAAAGATTGATGACTGGTGACTCTTTGCTATTTTTAGGGATTTGAAGCCGGAAAACATCTTATTAGATGATAATGGTAAGTTTTCTAATCAGATTTCAAGTTATAACAAATAATGCCGTTTGCATTCATACTAATCATGGGCATGAACAAAGTTATTTTCAAACACAAGAACAGGATGCTCAAGTTTGCATTCATTGTGGGTCTCCTCTGATCTACTGTAGTTCCAAATTATATATACAGGTGAAAATAAACATACATAGCCCCACTAATGTTTGGCGAATTGTTGTGGCAGACAAAACACACACATAATTTAGCTGCCAAAAATCTTCTGGCTTAATTCTGAACGTGTATTTGACCTGTTCCTGTTAGAACAGTTTATTTATTTAGTTTATTTAAACTAGTTGATTTCCTGACCCAGACCAGACATTTACACCAAATTCCCACATTTGAAATAAGGTTGAGATCAGGAAGCTTAATGTTGTTCTGTTTAACTAGTTTTAAAAGATAATTAATTTATGGGCTCTGTGTCCACATAAGTTGATCACGAACCTGCTGCTTTGTTACAGGACACATTCGGATCTCTGACCTGGGGCTGGCCATCAAAGTGCCTGAAGGAGAACCCATCAGAGGCAGGGTGGGGACGGTGGGCTACATGGGTAAGAAACAACTCGCTACAGACACACTGACAAAACAAACTGTTTCAATAACCAATAAATATATGTGCAACAATCTGATTGCATTTTATTTCTGAGAAGAAAGAAAAGTTCACCAACTAAGAATGTTACATTCCAGCTATTTTTTATACATTGTTGGAATTTACTCAACTAAACTAGCTACAATCTAATTCATTACTAAGATCACTTGGTTAATTTGGCCTGCCTTTTCATGTTTTTGAAAAGTAAAAATGGTTTGTGATTTGACCTAAAATATTACTTTGATAGTTGTAGCATTTTTTCCCTGACAGCCACAGCTAGGGGGTGCTGTTCACCGCCGAAAACATCCTTGGCCTGCTGGCAAACAAGTTTGGCCATCGACATCTCAGCAAGTTGCTAAACTACTTCTAAAACATCTGAAATTCTCGCTCTAGCATAGAAATTTCTCAACCAGAAAAACAATTTCTTAACGTTTCCTCAATTTATGAATTCAGTCATAATACAACCCACATGAGCAAATTGGCCTTGCTGCTCCGTGATGGAGCTAACATCTGTCACACAGGGTAAAACCAGGGATATTGTTGCCATTGTGCATATTAACAAGCTCTTCTTACTGTTTTTTTCCCCTCCCTCTCTGCAGCTCCAGAGGTGATCAACAATGAAAAATACGCCATGAGCCCCGACTGGTGGGGACTGGGCTGCCTCGTTTACGAGATGACCGCGGGAAGATCGCCCTTTCGTGCCCGGAAAGAGCGAGTGAAGCGGGAGGAAGTGGAGAGGAGGGTGCAGGAGGAAGAGGAGGAGTACAACGACAAGTTTACAGAGGACGCGAAGGCGATCTGCAGAATGGTGAGGCTGGATGAGACGCTGTGTGTAGAGGCAGAGAGATAAATAAATAATAAGTATCCTGAATGACTCATCTCTGTGCTTCTGCCTGGCCAGCTGCTCACCAAAGACCCCAAGCAGAGGCTTGGGTGCAACGCGGATGGAGCAGCGGGCGTCAAGGCCCACTCGTTCTTCAAAAACATCAACTTCAAGAGGATGGAGGCTGGAATTGTAGATCCTCCCTTCGTGCCTGATGTGAGTGCCTGGTCGTTATGGTGTGCTCAGATATATCAGTGATAAAAGTTCTGCACGGATGAGCTTGTCTGCTAATTTTGCTCTCGACCCCGTCTCTCTCCCCCCGGTCATTGCCCTCTCCCAGCCTCGGGCCGTGTACTGTAAGGATGTTTTGGACATAGAGCAGTTCTCCACTGTCAAGGGAGTAAATTTGGACCAAACCGACAATGACTTCTACTCCAAATTTGCTACTGGCTGTGTTCCCATCCCATGGCAGAATGAGGTGAGCCAGGCATTCCTAAACGCTCCGTTCACTTTCAAATCGGCAAATGTTTAACATTGCTCATGTTTTCGTTTCCTCTGTTTCCTCCTTCAGATGATAGAAACGGAGTGTTTCAGAGACCTGAACGTGTTTGGGCCCCAAGGGACGAGACCTCCAGATCTGGACTGGAATCAGCCGCCAGAGCCACCCAGACGTAGCCTGCTGGACAGGATCTTCAGGAGGCATGTAAGCGGATGTGAGCGCACATACGGCGGAGGATCCAGACGGGCTCGTTCAAACTAACCCATCTCTCTCCTTACTTCGCCACAGCACCCAGATGTGCCCATCTCCAACAGCCGTGTGCAGTCTTCCAGTGTAAATTCTGTGGACTCCATGTCCAACTCTGCCCCCTAGTGGCACAGCTGACAGTGTGGGACCTACTTAACCCACAAACGTACTCTCAAGAAGGGAAGGAGCTCGGAAGGGCTTCCCTGTTGCCGATTGGTCCACAGCTCAAAGGCCTGAGCAGCAGCTGGAGACAGCCTGTTTAAAAGCCTAAATGGTCAGGGAGGGGAAGAGGCAGGGTGGGGGGATTGACCGGGCCCTGAGATCCTGGGCATTAGTAGTAGGACACTTGATGTTGTGGAGATGTTTGGAAATATTCAGACAAACCTTTCTTTCCCTCAGGATTGTTGGACTGTAGAACAGAGCCACTGTTGTTTTTCTTGAACAAGAAAAAGGATTAAAAAGAAACAAACTGATAATCAGGGGATTCACTGTATAATAAAGACCACCACAGGGAATAAAGGTTGGGCGGGGGTGGGTGGGGGTACGGGTAATGCATTTGTTTTAAAAAAAAAAAAAAGTTTTTTTTTTTTTTTTTTTTTGCTTTCATTTCAGTCTTGTACTTTCTGGCCTGTATCTTATACCAATATCTCTCTCATCTCTCCGCTTCCCCCTGACGTGTCACCATCTGCACAACTCTTAACTTATTCTTTCTCCGTTCTTCACCTTCCAGACCTCAGATGACTTCAGAACACGCCACCTCAGCAACCTCAAACACACAATGTACATTGCCTTCGCGTACACTCAGGCCAAAGATTGCAGTTCTAGTTTTGTGATACTGTTGTCATGTTGAATTGTTGGTTTTTTTGAAGGGTTTTAGCTGTTGTGTAGAACTACAGGAGGATCAGAATGTGTGATCCCATTTATAGACTTTTCTTTAAATATGAGCCTGCAGACATATCATACAGCTTCTAGCACACACGCACACACACACACCCACACCCACACGCACACACACACGCATGCATACAGTACAGCGCCTTCCAGAACTATCCATACCTCCTGAATACGTCGTTGCTAATTACAATCACAAACTACAATGGGTTTCTCTGAGAGTTTATGATTGACTGACACAATATAGCCCATGGTATGTCGTTTTAAACTTTAATTATACAAAAAATCTAAAAAGTGTGGCATGCATTTGCATGAATTCCTCCAGTAAATACTTTATCGAACCACCTTTTGCTGCATTTAGTGTGTATGCCTCTTATGGCTTTTTCACATATTTTTGCCAATTCTACTTTGTGAAGTACCTTGAACCTATTCAGATATCTGAAGACTCTCAACTGGATTCAGACTTTATCTTTGACATTCCACTGTAGCTGTGGTTCTGTTCCGGGTCCTGGTTCCGCTGGAAGACGAACCTGTTCTCAGGTCATTTAGGCGGCCTCCTCAGGCCTCCTTTCTCCTGCCTCCTTCATGTTCTCAGCCTGTCCGTGTATGCAGAAGGCCTTGTCTTCTTATGTTTGCAGCTGTGCCTCGCCCTTTCCACTTTTTATTTAGCTCAAATTTGGTTTTTCTCAAAAATATGTCATTTATCCCAAAGGGAAATGAAACGTTGTCGCATCTTATACCGTCCAGTTATCTTCAGAGTTGTTGTGGATGTGACCCCGGCGCTGCTACTCCAGCATGCTGCCACTTTGAGCGCCGCAAGTGTAGAATAACAAGTTGATGGGTGGAACATTTTTCTGCAAGTTTACGTTATTTGAGAACTCAAAACAGCTTAAATATCTTGACAATCTTTCCTGAATCTCTGACTGTTTTGGTTTTCGTTAGGCTGTTTCTTTAGCCATGTTCTCCAACAAAAACCTCAGAGGGTTTCACAGAACAGCTAGGATTAAATTAGAAAAAGATTCTTTTTTTATTTATAGTTATTTCACGGTATGAGAGTAAAGGGCGGTCAATACAAATGCATGCCAAACTGCATGCATTGTGTCCTGTCACAGAGAATCCCGAACAAAAGCTTGTGATTGAAACACGACAGAAATGAGTAGTTTTGCGAGGCGCCGCACTGCGAACACACTCAGACTTGTGAGAATCGTGTTGTGTTTTCATTGCATGGACAAGCGTAAGTATGGACAGCTGTATCCCTTTTTGCTTCTGCATACCTCATTCCTCCGACTCTGCCGTCTTATAACCCACAGACGTTTCCCTCGGTTTACAGTGTCACTTTATATTTGGCATTATGTGGAGTTTGACGACTAATTAATATGCTGTACAGAAACAGATCTTTCTCTTTTTTCTTCCTTTTTTTTGGGTAGTTATCTGCACAGTCCCCATGGAGTGGAGAAGAACACATGCACTCAGCATGACTTACAAGTTGCACAATTTAATATACCATCAAGCTGTTTTGTTACCAAATTAAAATGTCTTTCCTCTGACCATTAAGGCACATCCTTGTATTTATACCGTCACATGCCGCTTGTTTTTCTTCTACACCCGAGACTTAAAAGTGTTCTTCTCGCTCTCCCTATGCCTTTTCCATGTAAACAATATTGCTGCATAGCCATTGCTGTCTCATGTACAGATTATTTTTATAAATATATATATATCTTTTTTTTTTTTTTTTCCCGTTTACAGTAAGCCCTCAGTGCGCTCTTCAAAAATGCCTCACGAATCTAAAGGGTCTTCCTCTTGTTTTGTGTCCAACTGTAACCCGAAGACACAGGGTATCGAGAACTACCTGAAAGGTTTACCTTATCTGAATCTTCTTTAATCAGCCCAGCTCCTTGGCGTCAGAGCTGAGGAGGAGGAGGAAGAGGAGAGGAAGACACCAGAGAATCTCCACACAAAGAAGTGGCCTTCCCGCAGCAGCACAGCCAATTAAAGGGAGGGAGAGCACTGGCTCTTCTGCTTCGTTTTTAAGAATGTGGTGTATTTCCCTGTTTTAAGCTGGCGGAAGCTGTTCCATGCAGTAATTTTAATCGTCCTTACCGATCTCACACAAGCCTGTTTTTTTTTGTTGTTATTGTTTTTTCTTTTCCTCTGCGTATTTGACGTGAAAAAGGGGAAAAAGAAAAAAAAAAGTTTCTGAATCAGACTGAAGTGCCTCCTTGTTAGCATGATTTCCAGACAATGCCCACACAGACATCAGCACTTTGTTTATTATCTGACTGTCATGCTCTGTTTGCTTCGCTGGGAAACACAAATACACGTAGACTTGCACAGTTTGTTGGAAGGGAAGGGAAAGAGGAGTCGCAGACGGAGCGGAGTCTATGAGGGAATTTTCCTTCTTAATGTGATGTACAGCAAAGTGCTGAGTGCATGTGAAAGCCAAACCCACTGTGTCAATCAAGTCCTAATAAACTCTGTATTATAGTTTGAATACTCATCTGTTCATCTGCCTCTTTCCTTCCCCTGATTGCTCTGTGGATGTGACCATGAGGCCACATTCACAAGTTGGAGGCGTGTTATAAGACATCGACCCAATTCCCCTTTTTTATGGTTTTTGCACACGCACGGAGGTGAAGTGGCGGCCATTCATTAGTCTGTCCAACTAAACACACATCGCCATTAAAATACATGTGTAAAAGGATGAAGATGGTATCTGTTTCTTTGATCCCTTCAGTTTCAAAATATGCAAATCTTTTTTTTTTAATTAATTATTTAATAAAAAAAAAGTGAAATAAGAAAAGTCTAAAGCAAATCATAATGTAAAGCACATTCAAATCTGCTTTGAGGAAATTAAAAGCTTCAGAAAGCACACAAAGAAAACCTTCTTGTAGGGTCGACTGTTTGATCGTTGGCTTACAACTTTGGATTAACTTTAGACAAAAGCGACGCGATGCAAACCGGAGCCTCATTAAAAGAAAATCATGTACTTGCCAATGAAAAGGGAACTCATTCGATCAGGTTTATGACCTGGTTTCTAGTTCTCTTTGTCCCGTGTTTCTTTACAGTACAAGAAACATGGGAGTTTTTCCACTGTGTGATGAATCACCCGTCACACGTCTGTTTGTTCTCATGTTGAACGAGGGAACTGGACCACAAGGCCGTGGGGTTACAGTTTAAGGTGACTTCAGTTTCTATTTTCCTGCTGCCACGGAGTTATTAAACACCTCTTTTTCTCTCTCTCTCTCTCTGTACGCTTGTTCTGACTCTGATCACATAAGTGGTTTCCTTCTTCACAGCTCTGATCTGATCTGAGCTGTTGCCTCTGACAGCTTTCTTGACGATTAGCCTGTTGAGACAATATTACCCTTAGATAACTTGTGTTTGGATTGGATGGAGTGAGCAAGGTTCCTAAAACACTCACACAGCTTTACATAATTTATCCTTATTGAATCTAATCGTCTACACTTTGGGGTGAAATTCCAGAAACAATAATCTGGCCAATGATGCTGTTTAGCACGTAAGAGGAAACAAAATGTTAATGTTAAGAAAAGAAATCCCATGAAACATTTATAGGGTCTTTAAAAGAAAGTCTTCTTTCATCCCGTAAGTATCATCTCACACTTTGAAAATAAAAAAAATAAAAATCCAGCTTTTATGAGAGGAAAAAAATATGTTGCATTTGGTTTGTACTGTTTGTACTCCTAAAAGCACCCAGCATCTAAGCTGCAGCAGAGGACTGGTCAAAGATCCCTTTTTCTGTAACATGTTCCAACATTTTGAAGACTTTTAGGAGAAGACTAGAAAATTCCTGAAGAGATTTGAATTGGGCCTGTCAAAGTGTGCCCGTCGGTTTGAACCCAGCGTTCTGACGCTGCAATGTAATCAATAGCATGTGGAGAGTCACATTGGCAAATTTTATGCCAAAATTAGCCAATACGCTGTTACCATGAATACTGTCAGTAATGTGGGGCATCACTAGCATGTTGTCTGTAATTGACTCACTCCATTCAGTACACTAAACATGGCTAATAAGTAAGAGAAATAGCTCATATCTTATTTAAGGCAAAAGGCTAATGCTAATGCTCTGCCTTTCTGCGCAAGGCAGAGCCCTAACCCGAGAAACAAAGATCATGCAGGCTTATTGCACCGCCTACAGTGGGGGCCAGTGAAATGCTAAAGTTTATGTTAATGTTAATGCACTGTCTTGTTGTGCAAGCCAGTGCCCATCCTGAGAGAAAAAAATAATACGAGCTAATATAATTGCACCGCCTATGGCGGTACACTAACCTGACAGGAATATGGAGGCTTTTATTTTGAAATTTTCACTCAGCTTCATCTTTAATGGCAACACTAATCCCATGTGTAACACTGGTTCAGTTCATCAATTATATAATGGCCAAAAGAGCAATTACCTGATATAAAAAATGTCAAGGCTTTCATTTTGAAATTTTCAGTACACAAATACCAAGTGTAAGAGTTATCAGGTTAAATCAGTTATATAATGCCCCAAAGAGCAATTACCTGATGTAAAAATGGTCAAGTCTTTTATTTTGTAATTTTCATTAAGCTTAATTTAAAATTGCCACACTAATCCAGTGTGTAACAGTGGTTGGTTAAAATCAGTTATAAAAGGCCCAAAACACAAGTAGTTCTAAAGTCCAGCTCATTCCAGAGAGTTCTTCCATAGTTAGAATTACAGTGATGCGTTTTTGCAGTCCTAATCAGCTGCTCTGCCCTGCTGTGTTCCGTTGCTATGCTAATGGATCCTCTGCTTACTGTCTGTGTGTGAGACAGAAAGATGGAGAAAGAATCCTATCTTTGTGAGACACCCAGTCAGTTTTTATGAAAAAATGTCACGCAATTATTTGGATCAGCTGTTCTGAAATAGAGACACATCTAAAACATGCAGAGCAGAAGGCCTGAGCACTGGACTGAGAAGCACTGACCTAATGTGACACTGGACATATATATAATGGTGTGTTAACCCTAAAAGCGTTTTGAGTGTCAGGCGCGTCTGGTTTGCATTCAGTCTATGTGGAGGCGCGTCGAGGGCTATTGCATCTAGCGCAACGCAATTTGAACCGTTTGTAGTGTTTGACACATCTAGCACATGCAACACTCCACATATACTTTGAATATAAACCAGAATCTCCTGATGCCCAAAGCGTGTTTGATGTGATTGCACCATTTAAATATTTCAGCAATTTTTTTGTTAGTTACTCGAAATGTCAACAAAAGTAATAGCTCCAATACCGGGGCAGAGCCGCATGTTTTGATATATATATATATTGTGAGGGGGCATGCAGCGGTACGGGCCGTATTAACAGTAGTAGGAAACAGCAGTTTTTTGAGGTGAAGAACAATAGGTGCCTGCCATGCAATGCATGGAGTGACTGACAATGCATACAAAGTATATACAACCAGGGTACCAATAAATGAACCGCAGGTTACTTTGTTCAAAACTATTTTTTATTGGCTTTTGCTTTAACTGTTGAAGTAAGATAACAGTGATGCTTTAAAAGATGAAACTTTCCTTGGTTTTGGTTTATCAAAGTTTTTATAGGAATAAGTAAATATTCTGTGTTTTAAAAGCAAAAGTCCACTAAATATGTCTATTAAAAAGAGAATCCATGAAGCCAGATAGAAACCTCGAGTTGCTGACGTGACATTTCCTCCTATGACATTGAATTTTTGCCAGTCTCATCCTGAGATATCAATCATTCTTGCAGGAGAAAGGAGCCAAACCAAGAGAAACATTGTTGCCCTTGAGTTGCAGTTCATGGTCGGTGAGGCTGGACGGAAGAGTCATTCAGGGTCTGCCCCACTGACCTCTCTCCTCTGGGTGCCATCCCATACAGGAAGCCGTCTGCACCGTGGCATGTTTGTTTATGTGTGAATCAGTGGACCTAGGCACTGGACGTTATCTCACGCAGTTTGTGAGAAATGCTTGTCGTGTCCGTTGGAGCGTCCTTGATGACATGGCCGTTGGATCGCTTGGTTGGTTCCCCTGTTTATCTATCTGGTGATAGCAAGATGGCCTTCAGGGAGAAGCTCCTATATATACAAGAGCTCCCAAACATCCCACAGATAGAAGTCGGAAAGCCTCTGCAGCTGTCTCTGCTACTCAGCTGACCCTTTACATCCCAGACGTAGGCTAACGTCTTGCTGAATTGCTTGTGTTCCCAGTTATTTTTAACACTTTATTTTTCAAGTAAACGCATCAGAAATTCCCACAAAGCAAAATGCTGCCCGCAACTTTTAAGCTGTGTGCTGGCATCTCCTATCGGCACATGAGGAACATGACAGGTGAGTGAACAAATCCCACCGGACTGACAACCAGCTGTTTTGCGCTACTTCCTGCTTGAATCCACACTTTTTCCAGCTGATGTCTGCATGAAGCCGAAAGCAAGTGAAAGAAGGCAGAACAGAGCCAAATGTGTTCTTGTATTTTTTCTCGCAGTTTCACGTGTAAATGTGATGTTCTCCTGCTTTCCAGGTCTTAGAAGAAATGCCCTGGCAGCGATCCATCATGAGCTGAACAGGCTGGCGGGTCCAGGCCCCAGCAACTGGATCAGTCAAGTCCGCAGACGCAGCTCCCTCCTCAGTGAGTTGTTTTTTTTTTTTTGCCTGTTTTATTTTGCTTTTCTCTTTTTTGTACAGGTAAATCTTAGTGATGAACAGTGTTTTGTTTTCAAGAGAGACCTGTTCTCAGCCATCAGAGAATATTGATACATATTGTCAGGAATGCGGTATCAAATGTTGGACCCTTTGTTGTAGCCGTGTTGCTCAGACCAAATTCTCACTTAAGACCCACATATTTTCCTGATGACGTTAGATACAGGTAATCGTATTTAACTTATGTGTGGAGAAAATGCCCAACTGTTACCCTGATGAGGCCCTACAGCAATATTTGATGCACCTTTTCTTGTATTTGCTGAAAATGTAGGTTATTAGACTGTCAATATTATTATTGGGAATGTGAAAAACATCAGGCTGAGCACCTACATGCATCACAGTCTCTGAGATTTCTCGTTGTCGCACTGAATTTACAAAGCTACAACACACATCATCCCAGACCTGTGGAGTTGTAGTTAACGCATGCTTTCTGCTTAAGGCTCTCAGATTCAGGAGGAGGACGTGTACAACGAGGAAGAAATGTCCTATGTGAAGCAAGGAGAGGATGCACTGCAGAAAGCCATCAGCATCCTCAGCGAACAGGACGGCTGGACGGTGGAAACTGTAGCTGTGAGTACAATGCAGAAGCCAAGCTTTCACTGAAGTTTAAATTGACTTTGGGTGTAATGGATACAAGTCTCAGGCAGAAGCAATCCATCTTGTTTGGCGAGGGAGATGACTGCTGGATCTCTTCCGACATTTCTGCAGGCGAACGGAGACAAGGTTCTGAGCAAGGTCTTGCCAGACATTGGGAAGGTGTTCAAACTGGAAGTGGTGATGGAACAACATCCCGACAACCTGTACGAAGAGCTGGTGGAAAAA